GAGAGTCTAGCACCTTAACCATCATGCTACCTGCTGGCTCACGTTGGCTAAATTTTACTCCTGATATTCCTATCACAGGAGTCTTCCCAGAGACTGTTTGCTTTGGGGGCCAAATTCCTTTGTTTTCTTCTCACATTCGGTAGAAAATGCCTGGCCAAACCGCAGCTCCAAATTCACTCTCATTTGGCAAAATCAATATGCAAATTGTGTTAAATGAAGAAAATAGTAATCTCCCCAACTCCAAGTGTAAATCTAATGAGCAGGGTCCAATTCCAGTACACAGTTGGTGTATGTGAGTGACAGACACCACAACTGATGGACAGAACGGAAATTAAAGATTGCTTTGAAATGGAAGCCCAAGCTGCAGAAGCAGCGTCTGCTCAGAGATAAAGCACCATGGGTACCAAGACACACAGTGACTGGTCTCACACTCACCCAGTCAAGCAGCCAATGGAGCCAGAGGAAACAGAGGGGCAAAAGGGGTCCTGTGTGGGGAGTGAGCTGAAAGTACCAAGTCTACCAACAGCGAATCAGCTCGGAGCCACGGACACGGCGAGATGGACTGCAGACTAGATTCCTAGAGTCCCCTTGGCTCCCCTCCTTCCTACAGGCCGCAATTTATTTTGTAACCTCGCTATGCTCTGTGTCCTCTTGTCACGGTGGCCTAGGATAACTCGCTCCTGCAACTCAGTGTCTCTTTAGGAACCAGTATGGTCCCTGAGGAAGCACTGTCCCCTAGGCACACGTGCTCAGCCCAGGGCAAGCTCCACTTCGTCCAGCCCAGACTGGTTGGGAAAATGCTGTCTCCCTGTCACGTGCTGAAGTGTGTGCCCTCCGCCTGACACAGCCACTTTCCAAGGGGTGCTAGAAAAAAAAGTCGTCTCCACTTGAAATTGGAAAAGGCTTCCGGCTGGGTGTCACGTCAAACAATCTGACGAGCATTTAAATGGAGTAAAAGGAACACAAAGCAGAAAATATTTAATGACAGGCGACAGTTCCTTCCAATGCACAGCAGCACACTGTCAAATGATACTTATAAGTTATAAATGAAATGTAACCATTTAATTTTACCACTCTATAATGAATTCCTCGCGCCAGAATAATTTGCCAGTAAATATAAATATATGTTTTCCAGATGCCTGCTCGCTCCAAGCAGGTCTAAAATATATTTATAATCAGACAGCCTCAAGCTGGTTTGTTCTGATCAACAAAGCCATCTAATTTTTGGTTCAAATGAACTGTGGAACTTCTGGATACTAATCCTTTGGAAGCTTTGAAGTAAAATTTCTGATTTCTTATGAGGGAGCTAGACTTTAGACAAGGAAAAGCAGGGTTATCCAGGCACCACTGTGGAAATAAGGATACAATTCCCAATGAGGGGTCCTCAGAAAGCTCATGGAAAATGTGCATTATGAAAAACCTACGCATGGGTTTCAACATTTTTTTTTTTTTGTACAAACTTGTAGTATTTTCTTTGTTTGTTTTTCAAGTTTTGCTCTAGGGCATGTGAGCTCACCAGAGAGAGACAGAGAGAGAGAAAGTGAGAAATCGGCACTGGGGGGAAACGACCATGCCATTCCTCCTACATTCTACCTCTTGGGATTTCAGGCACGCACTCGCATGCACCCAGCATATTATTTTCAAGCTGCTGGATCTGGGACTTGAACCGTGAAGTCAGTCATATGGGATCTAGCCACCTTAACCACTATGCCACAGGCTGGCCCTAAACTCGTAGTTTAACTCCTTTGTCTGTAAGCTTCCTGAAGTGCCTTCATGCGCTGGCACTGGCTGGGACCTAGTACAAGAGCTGCCTTGGCCCTGCATGCTGCTTATGATCACGTGACGGACCCTGTGCTGCCTTCCCCCTTAAAGCCATCTGAGACTGCGCATAACTGTCATACAGGAGGGGACAGCCACCAACACTCCATCTGGAGGAGTCAACAGCTACCAGAAGGCTAACGAATAAGGAGCCCCCGATGAAACCTGAACATGCAGACTTCTGAGACCTCGATGGATAGAGGCTAGGAAAAACGAACCTCAAAGCAACACCCAATTTCTATCTCGAGAGTGTCTGTACTGCTTGGGGGCAGACTGCTGCCGTGTTCTGGAAAACTTGCCTGAATGGGCCCTGCCAGTGTTCCTCGATGTGGGCACTTTGGTGGAGAGACATCTTTGTTGTATGGCTCTGACCTGGATGTTACAGGGTGTTAAGCAAACCTGGCTCTGGTCCAGTAAATCCCCCGGTCACTGCGACAGCCAGGCCTGCCCCACTCATTCCCAACACACCAAGTGGAGGCAGCCCCCATCTGCCTGAGAACCTCTGAGGCAGGCCAGTCCCGGTATCCCCACTGATCTGAGGAAGCTAATGGCACCCTTCACCTGGGGGACCAAATGCTGTGTCTAGTAACTGTAGGGTGCAGGGCGCAGGAACTCCGTCACTGTTTTTTGTTTGTTTTATAGCTCTCTGCTCTGTTTAAGCCAGGACAAGACTGTGCCTGAAATGCAGCTTGTTCTGAGAGATTTGTGTGCCGTTGTATTGAATGCTGAGCTGGAAGATACTAAATTAAGATGGAGGAGAGTGTGGCGAGATTTGCCAGCATTAATGTCACCTGTCTGTGGGAAGGGGCTGGCAGTGAAAGGTGCATCAGACCAGGCGAGGACAGGCAGTTCGGAACCTGGTGATGTTCTATCTGCTGCATTATTTATTCTAAAAGTCCCAAAGGCACAAAGGTCAGAGTGATTGGTTTTTATGGAGCTGTCTTGTTGGGAAGTGTGCAGCAAGATGCATCTCTGCAGGTAGGGGCGGGACTTCCCACCGTCCATCATCCTGGGAGAGGCTCATTTTAAGAGAAGACAAATACACTCCAGAAGTGGGCCTTGGGCAGCCGGGTGTCTGAGGCCTAGACAAGGTCTGTGCACTTCAGATGACACGTGGACAGGACTTTAGGTCCTGTCAATCATCTTGATACTTGGTCTGGCCTTTAGTGTTGTGACAATAGCCACCCTGAGGCAGTTGTAAATTACTCCCTGGTATTAAAGAAGCAGCATGGGCTGACACTCCATGGGTAGCTGAGGACGGGGCCAGCTCTGAGCTCGGGACAGAAGGGCTTTCTGCAGGCACACAGAGGTGGTGAGGGCGGTGAGTGACACATAGAGGCCCCGCAACAGAGGTAACACCGAACAGCGTGGTAAGGGCTCAACGAGACAGGCTGGGACCTGCGCACAGCATCCTGGGAAACTGCAGAGAAACAGGCTCAAACCATCGCACTCAGGGCACCAACGGGAGGCGACCTGTTTAATATTCATCTCAGGCAGAGCCTGGACATGGGACTGTCGCAGGTAACAGGCCCGGACCAGTCACTCCTCCTCTGCAAGCACCTCTCTGAGTCATTGGCCACTTAACTTTCCTCTTCTACTTTGCAGGTGGGGCCTCAGCTTTCCAGGCCTCCCCTACTCCTGGGGCATTTAGTTTTCAACACCTTTCTGTCCCTCTGGTCACCCTGCACACTCACTGGCTAGAAACATGTTTCTTTCTCTTTTTTTTTGGAGAGGTTTGTGCTATAGGGCGCGTGTGTTCACCAGAAAGACAGAGACAGAAAGTGAGAACTCACCCCCCAGGGGGGATGGCCACGCTGCAATCCCTTCTCCCCTCAGGATCTTGAGCACTCACACACATGCGCCTGGCATGAGTTTAAGCCACCGGGTCCGGGACTCAAACCGAGGTCAACTACCTGGGAGTCCAGCGACATAGCCATTATGCCAACTGCTGGCCCCTGGATACACATTTCTTCCTTTGTGTGGCTGAGCTTGAGGAGAAGGCTCTCTGTATTAACTGCCATTTCCCTCCCTTCTAAGATCCTGCACAAACTGCACACGGAAGTGCTCTCACGAGTCAAGGAGTAGTGGCTGAGAGATGAAGGGCTCTCAGGACTGCCTCCTGCCAGTCCTTCTTTCTCGTTCTACCTTTCCACAGAAGCCAGGATGCAACTTGTGAAAGTGGAAGAGAACGTATAAGAACGGGAATGGTTTCCTAAGGCGGGAATCGATTCTGACCCATCAAAACTGGGTAAAGGTGGATAAAACCAACTCTGGCAACTTGCTGGAACTAGCTAGTTCTGGTTTCGATAGAGGTGTAGCCCTGAGGCTCTGGGTGGCTGCCCACTGGTGCTAACGGCATTTGGATGGTGTGCACACATTGTACGTGTCCCTGCAGGCCTGCTTTGTCTATGATTTTAGGTAGTTTTGGCATCACGGTGGAGAGTCTGGAGCTCTGGGATTCAACCAGCTCTGGCAAGTTCAAACTGTTAGGTCATCAGGAAAGTCATGACATATTTTTCTACGTTTTTCTAGGCAAAAATGTGTAATAACTTTTCTGATGACCCAATCGTTGTGAATTATTTAAACCAGGTGAAAATGGTCCCGTCTGGGTCAAACAGACTCGCTCCTCTTATGTCTCGAAACAACACATTCCAACAGGTTCCACGTGGCTCCAGGTGGTTCCAACCAGGTGAGCTGTGTGCTGTCTTGTTCAGAATGGTCAGATTTGATCAAACAGTTCGTGTTATTCAAAGTAAGCCAGCTCCATCTAGCTCGACCAGGATCGGCTGGTTCAAATGCAATGCCACTTAGGCTGAACCAGCTCTGCACAGACTGACGCTGGTTGCCAGTGGAAATCGGTGAGACCTGCCTCATGTGGAGGTTTAATACTCAAAAGGAGACCCTTCCTCATTGGGTCGGCTTTGCAAAGTTTACGATTACATGTGCTTTTGCCCGAGCCTGGCCATTTAGAACAACTTACATAGTGTGTACAGAGGCTCCACTGCACTTTGGAAATCTGTCTGGAGCTGGGAACAGGTACAGGTGTACACACTGCCTGTGGGGTTTTCTCAATCCACCCCGCTCCCAACTGGGGACTGGACTCAAGAGGTGAGGGATGGTGCCATGGACTGCCCAGTGCCCGCATCTGCCCATCAACCCGCGGGGCACGCGGCCCGCCTCACCTTGATCCTGCTCACTGCTTCCTGGGCCTGCATCATGCGCACGTTTTTGGAGGGAGTTTTGTCTGAGAGCAGCTGGGTGGAGCCAAGGTAATTGGCAGCAAAAATGATTCCATCGATCAAGTCTTCGGGGTCACAAGGTCCAGGAACTGTAACACACAGAGCCACAGAGGTGAGTGGCTGGGCAGGGTCTGATAAACCCGATGGTGTATCACCCTTTCCCCATGCCTCACTGTTGGTGCAGGTGGGCCAGGCACAGACCCCTGGGCAGGGGAGTCAAACTGCTGGTCTGAGGCACCTCTACGCATCTGCCTTCATTCATCCTTCATTTTCAAATAGAAAGCAAAGTTCCCCCCAGTGACTTATTTGATCCAAATGATTTACTGTGAGAAATGATGTGACTCCTCAAACCAGATATGTAAATTTCAGTGATAAAGGATGTCGTTTCTCCTGCTAGACTGTGAAGAAGGACTATATCATCTTCACCTTGGACTCTCTGGGTCTTAGTGTCTGTCACCCAGTAGCTCTCAATGAGATGTGTGCCAAATAAACGGGTGGGTGAACAGCAGGTGTCCCATCAGACCTAATCCTACGTGCCAGCTCCTACCTTCCTCCTCTGTTCAATGCACAATGGAGGAAGCAAATCTCCTAAGTGAGAAACAGGTATTTATTTTGGCCTCTGACCCCAGTTCTGCAAGACAGAACTGCCCTAGGTCACTGCCCGAGGGTGCCAGCATGGCTACTGTACAGGCTATACTACGACTCCAGGCTTATGTCTACACGCAGATCAATTCCAAGAAAAATAAACTTCTGTTCTCCTTGACCAGGCATTTAAATCAAACCTTTTATAAATACTTTAAGTGTGGGCATCTAATTCTAACCACAATCACCTGTAAACCCTACTTGAAATGAAAATATGCCCAAGACTGATCTTTCACTGCATAAGAGGTTTACTAAGAAAGACATTTCAATCTGTAATTAAAACACGTGCATTTCTTTGACTTGAATGCCTTATCTGCGGAGACCGAGATATACATTTTTAACTCACTGTTACAACCTCGGGATCTTAAATTAGAAGACTTGAAATGGAAACCATTTGCTTTTTCCTCTTGGAGGACTAATCTGAAATGGCTTTTAATTTTATCTTTAAACATCAAGTGCATCTTTAGCTTACACAGCTGTTTCTCATGATGAACTACTTTTCCGAGAGTGTCTTAGAAATAATCTCATCTTTTGAAAACTAAGGTTGTGGTTGAGACAAATGAAAAGTATTTTAAGAAGGGCCTTCACAAAGCCTCTGTGTAGTAATTAAATAAGGAAACCTGTTATTTATTTTAAAAAAGACCTCTGGACAGACACTGTAAGTGGCCAAACCTGCCTCTGCCATATGCCACCAATTTACATTCCTCTCTGTGGTCGCATGGTTCCCACTCTGGAACTTTTTTTTTTTTTTAAGAGATATTTTTGCTATAAGGGCCTGTGCACTTGCCAGAAAGACAGGAAGCAAAAAAATCACACACACACACATATACACCCGGGGGGGGGATGGTATGCCGCAATCCCTTCTCCTCTATTCTCTTCTTGGGATTTTGGGCATGCACGTGCACATGCCCAGCGTGACTTTTAAGCTGCTGGGTTCAGGATTCGAACCAAGTAGGCCACGTGGAAATCCAGCACCTTAACTAGTATGCCACCCGCTGTCTCCATCCCCCCCAACTCCACCCCTACTCTGGAACTTTCATAGGCATGAGAAGGATTCAGTCATCTGCCACAGAGAGTCTTGGTTGCCCAGCAGAAAGCACATGATAATACAAAAGGAAGTCTTCAAAAGTTCATAGAAAATGCACATTCAGGAGGAAAAAAACTATGCATGGATTTCAAGGTTTTTGGCACCAAAATAAACTAATTCTTTAATTCTTTTTTTTTTTTTTTTGGAGAGATTTTCACTGTAGGGTGCGTGCGCTCGCCAGACAGACAGAGAGAGACAGAGAGACAGAAAGCGAGAAATCACCCCCAGGGGGGATGGTCACGCCGCAATCCCTTCTCCTCCATTCTCCTCTCGGGATCTTGGGCACGCACGCACACGCGCCCGGCGTGAGTTTTTTAAGCCACCGGGTCCGGGACACGAACTGCGGTCGACTACGTGGGAGTCCAGCGACATAGCCATTACGCTAACTGCTGGTTCCCTAATTCTATTTCTTGAGCCTTCTGAAGTCACCTGGTTTATAAACAAGTTTCTATGCATACTACATATAATGTAAAAGATTGTCAAGCTTCTGTGAGAAGTTCCTGGATATAGTTTTATAGTTTTTTATTTTTTTTTGGTTGTTGTTTGCTTTCTTTTTTTTTTTTTATTTAATTCATTTGGTTTTGTCATAGGGTCAGTGTGCTCGCTGGAGGGAGTCAGAGAAAGAGAGACAGTTAGAACCTAAGTGAGAAATCACCTTCCCCTCAAGGGGGGATGGCCATGCTACAATCCCTTCTCCTCCTGGGATTTTGGATGCACATGTGCCCAGTGTGACTTTCAAGCCACCAGATCTGGGACTTGAAACTGCGGTCAGCCACGTGGAGTCCAGCACCTTAATCACCATGCCACCTGCTGCCCCCTAGTGATATTGTTACTTATATATAACCATTTTAGCTATCCAGATATTGACAAAATAGATCTCAACTGGGATAGCAATTTTCTAAAACCTCCCATCTATTTTGTCATTGCCAGAGAGCACGTGCATTCAAGAGAGAGAGAAGGCAGGCATCCCGTGGTGGGACGTGGTCATACTGCAATCCTTCCTCCTCCATTTCTCCAACCTGTCAGGATTTGGGGCATGCACCCGCATGCACCTCATGTAGTTTCCAGGACATCAGAGCTAGGATTTGGGCTGCACTCAGCCATGTGGGAGCTAGTCCCTTAACCACCCTGCTACAGGGCCAACCCTTCAAACTCTTTTTTAATGAATGTTTAAAGAAAAGCAAAAATAACCACAATCTCTATGGGACTTCCAATAACATGTATCTATTTTGGATTTAGCTCTATTCACTGAAAAGGGTCCCTTTTCAATCACAATAGCTGTGGATGAAAGAGATATTTAAAAGAAATCTGAATGATATTTAAATGGCTGTATAAATGCCAACCTGTCAATAGACACAAATATTGGACTGAAACAAATTTTGAGATATGGGTTTATGCCATTTATCCCTCAGGGAAATTGACTGCAAGTGAACATCACTGCCACTATATCATAGTTAGCAAAAAAAAAAAAAAAAAAGTGCTAACTTCATAAATTTACTTTAGGCTTGGTGCCAGAACATTTTATAAATTTTTTCAAAGAATTTTTTAAATTTAATTTTATTTACTCATTCATTTATTTTAATTTGACCAGAGAGAGAGACACACACACATGCACAGAGAGAGAGGGAAAGTGAGAAAGCAAAGCACCAGGTCCAGAATTCGAACCGTGGTCGTATATGTGGGAGTGTCCAGTGCCTTAACCACCACACCACCTGCTGGTTCCCATTTTATCTGTTTTTATGGTCCCTATTTATAAGTGCTTTTCAAAATGAAAACATCCTATGTCGAAGAACTGCAGGCTCCCTGTGGGGCTGTTGGCATGTGTTTTTCCCTCAGGGAGGCCCTCTCGCTACTCTGTGGGCGTCACATCCCCACCGGGTAATGCATGGAGCCTGGAAATCTCTAGGTGTGGAGGGACGGATATGAAGAGGGCGTTTCCAAACTTCTGAAAACTCCCCAGGGTATTCTTGTGGAGTTTTAGAGCATCACAAAAATGACAAATATTTATGGGTTACACAAGAAAAAAATCGAGGACTAAAATTATGAGCTTGTTCTGGGTTTCAAGCCCAGGGGCTGATGAGGGTTTATACATCCCTGTAACTCGTTCCCAGGCAGTGAAACATACTGTTCATTCACAGGACTGAAGGCCAGACGTGGCCAGACATCTGGTCATTCTCTGGCCTCTAGAAAAGCCTCCTTTGAGGAAATGGTAATCCAATCTACCTGAAAAAGCATCTGTCAGGCTAGACCCCTAGTATAGTGGTTAAGGGAGCTGGACCCCACAGGGCCAACTGTGGTTCAAAGCCCCAGACGTCTGAAAATTATGCTAGGCTCATGTGCACATGTGCCCCGAATCCTGACAGTAGAGAGAAATGGGTGTGTGTGTGTGTAAGAGATTGCAGTGTGACTATGAGACATGGCGAGGACTGGGGTGGGGGGATGCTTTCTCCCTCATTCTCTTTGTCTCTCTGGCAAATATGTGTGCCCACTGGCAATGGCACATGCATCCACCCTGGTAGAGAACACGTGACCCTTTGCCTCTGTGTGAATGAGAATTATACATTCTGTTTGGGCAGTAGGACCTCGAGCAGGGGTAATAGCTTGGGCTGAGTTTTGCTCCCACCGGGTCTCTTGACTGAATGCACTCAGGCTGTGGACAACTTGCACAACCATGTGTGGCAGCCCTGCAGGAAACACTTGCTCCAAGGAGAATTAGGGAGTGAGCCTCTGGTGTATTGCCCGGCTCTGCTTTGCTAGCTGTGTGGCCTTGGGCAAGTTACTCACCCTCTCAATGCTTCAGTTCCCTCATGTATAACATGGGTCTGAGAATAAAACACACTGCATAAGGTTGCTATGAGGATTCAATTAGTCATTAGATGGAAAGTGCTTGCAACAGTGGCTGGCACAGAGTAATTGTTCAATAAACATTACTACTACTTGCTCATCTGGACAACAGACAGGAATGACTGGGAAGGTCTTTGGAATGGAGGAAACTAAAATTTCCCCTTCAGTTAAATAAAGTTCACTCCTGCTCGAGCTGCCTTTGATGGAGATGAGAGGTACAGTGGGCTAGAAGTAAGGAGGCTGGGTTTTAGCTCTCATGTGACCATTGCTGAGCTGAATGACACTGGGCAAAGCCCGTAGCCTCCCCACCAGCTACAGGGTCTCCACCCTCACAAAGAACAAAGGCCAGGGATGAGGCTTTGGGGGAGGCTCGTGGCTCCTATATACTTCTAGGCTAAGATCTAAAGACTGTTAACTCTGTGAAAGAGT